ATGATTAATAGAAAAATAAAAATAGCATGAAATAAATGTTAAAGCAGGAATACGAAATCTCTGTAATGTAATCTCTGGTTTAAACTTGCTCTCTCAGTTCTCTCCGCATTGGATTGTGGGAAATAGTGCTTCAGCAAGTGTACATCGAATGTACACTCGAATTCAGAGAGGATTGTGGGTAAAAGTAGTGAATGAATGTAGGGAATGATGTCGTTCACTCAGAATTCGGACACCACTACAAAATGGCCGACACCCGATATAGTGCACTATGTAGTGGATAGGGAGCGATTTCAGACACAGCTTATGGATCAAACACGGCTATGACCGCTTCACCCAACGGTTCTATGTATCACTACACAACACCCCTAGCAACCACTCTTAGCAACATAAACATATATTCTCATTGATATTGTTTGTGAGAGATCGAGTGGGTGTACCTGCATTTACAGTAGATATAGTATTTTCCTTCAGGTCAGTACTATATTCGTAATAAAAAAATCCGCTTGAATGTCCGCTGCGTTATCTCGTCCTAGCAGTTAACGATGTTCCGTTCCCTGACACGCTAACGTTAGTCATTTGTCAGTTGCATCTTGCTGTTCTCCGTGTTCACAAGTTTCAGTCATAGACAGTATAAGAGGTTTCAGTCCTTTCAATATAAAAGTCTTCTCTACTGGCTGACTCACTCACTCATAAAGACAGTCTCTGTCGCCATGTAATGGAGAAATAATGTAACTTCTGTTGCTGTTCACAGTCAGGGACTATTTTTTTTCAGCGGAAGGAAGGCTCGGGTTAGTTTTTACTTCATGAAAGTTGCTTTGATACATGTTTTTTGGCTTTCATATTTGTATTGTGGTAACCATTTTTTAAAAGCAATAAGCTTACTCCGCTTCGCATCGTGCCTAACAACGCCCTTCTTGAGATTTGAATCAGTGGCGGAAGGAAGTAGTTCCTCACAAAATAGTGATTTTAAAGACATTCTGTTGTTGTTTCTTATTTATTTACTCACTTTTACCGTCAAACTGTTGTATAAACGCAATGTCACATGATATTGGGTATAGCTATATATATGACCTACAGCCTACTCGTGTGATATTGCTCGTATTATAACCATCATTTTGTAACCATATTTTCAACCATCAGTTGATTCGCGAACACTAAATCAACATGCGCCATCAATGCTATCGTCTAAATCTCATAATCATTTGTTAACAAACACGTATTCAATACTTCAATGAGCTCATTGTTTAAATGAATACATTTGTAGCTATTATACACACATTATTATACATACTTCCCCATTTTATTACAGAAACATTTACAGTAATTCTACATAATTCTACATAAAATACTACATAAAATACTTTTTTTTTTCAAAACAAAAAAAAGACACACTTTACCCAAATTTTCATTAATGTAAAGAAAATTAAGCATATTTTAACGCTTCATTTTCTTTTATATCTATCTGGTACTCATTATACATTACACTTTGTTTATCGTCTATATACATTAATGTCCCCATAGAAATGCATTGAAGGTTGGCTTTGGGAGAATGCATGTGTTGCACAGATCCATCGCGCCCTCTAGTGGAGGATATACAAACACACCGATGCCAGACTGCATTCCTGACACTTCACCCGAAACTGCACATTTCATAACACACACTGTGAATGCTGCATTTAATAACCGTGTTATCGAGGAGAGTAAGTCATCAACGTGTCATGAAAGACCCGTGAGTGAAACACAAACAGAAATAAAAGTGCACAAAGATGTTGTTCTCCTGAATCCCGACGGAAGAGCCTCCGGCCCGAACACAAGCCACAGACATTCTGCTGTCGATGGCCAATATCATGAAGGAAAACATGTCCAGTTCATGCAGCCGCCGACAACAGCAGAGAGAGCGAGAACCAGCACAACAGCTGATACTGTAAATACAGTGAGACGAGCTTCTGTACGCTAAACGGCACCATTCCAGTAAACTAAAAAAGTTAAGGGAACATTTCACAATAATGTTTCAGTGAAAATGGATTTGGTTTTCTGGGGACTTTCCATAGAAGAAATGGTTTTTATACTGTACAAACTGTATATTCCGTCCGCTTACACTACACACACACACACACACACACACACACACACACACACACACACACACACACACACACACACACACACACACACACACACACACACACACACACACGCACATGCAGACACACACACACACACACACACACACACACACACACACACACACACACACACACACACATACACACACACACACACACACACACACACACACACACACACACACACACACACACACACACACACAGACACACACACACACTAACTAACCCGACCCCTAAACCTACCCATCAACACACACACACACACACACACACACACACACACACACACACACACACACACACACACACACACACACACACACACACACACACACATACACACAAACAAACACACACAAACGCACACACACACACACACACACACACGCACGCACACACACACACACACACACACACACACACACACACACACACACACACACACACACACACACACACACACACACACACACACACACACACACACACACACACACACACTAACTAACCCGACCCCTAAACCTAC